CCCCCCACGCTCCGTTTTGTTTGTAGAAGCACCTCAAGTCTCAAATCCCTGCAGCCCACAGCCACGACACCCTTGTGTTCCCATGGGACTCTTAAGACCCTTTCCCTCTTCTTTATTCTGTGTGCACAGGGCTGCTGAGTGTGCCTTACGCAGTAAGCCAGAGCATGATCAAAGGGACAGTACTTATCTTCTTGGTAATCCAGCATAAAATCTGCTCTCCTTCATTGGAGTCGTTTACCCAGAGGCAAGACTGAGCTACAGGCAAGCCTGGACAGCCAGCTTTGCTTCCATACCCATCCCAGGAGACGCCAGGGTGTGCTAACAGCAGGATGCTCTGGCCCCGAAGCCAGCCCCTCCGCACAGCCAGGACCAGGGCCAGCAGGCAGTGAAGGGGACGCTGGCATGCCCACAGCACTTTCCTCACTTGGTCCAGTGAACTTTTGTGTGTTCAAATTTCAACTTGAGGCACTGGCTTCAACACCACAAAAAACAGCCATCAGGAGAAGACTTGTTCCTTCTGGGGTAACACTGTGCTATGACCTAAGCCATATGGGACCCTCTCTGCCAAATTGGCCTCCTCCGGATAACAGCACTCTCTAGGTAGGCGGCTGGCTGGGGGGAGAGAAGGAGGAAGTACTGGCACTCTTAGGCTCTGCCTGGAAACTGCGGTGGGGCCTGGGTGACCTCACCATTCAACCATATAACCAAAGGGATTGACCTTGAGCCCTTGGAGCAAGGAGAGCCTCCGGGGCTTGGAAGCAGCAGAGAAGCATGACCAGAGCCCCCTGGTGGCCGCTGGCGGGAGAGCAGTGCTCCTCTGCACCTCTGTGCCTTCGGACCCGACCTGCCTGGGCTCATTGTTGCCGCCCCTGCACGCAGCTCAGCTGTCTGCTCTGGCAGGAACACTGCCCGACTCTCCCAGTCTGAGGCACACAGCGCTCCTCCAAGAGTTACAGTCTGGGAAAGCCACATCAGCTCAAAGAAGAGTTTGGTTTGAACTGAACCATAGTTACAAAAGACTTGAAGTGAGCTCTGAACATTTACAGACCAGGCAAGGTGATACCAGGACCCAGACTTGTAGTTCCCCAGGACAATACAGACGGCCGATCAAGCAGCACTGCTGGCATTCCTACATGGCAACCAGTAGTTGAACCTGAAGAGTGGCACCCCTTAGTCAAGGACAGAGACCCTCTAACGGTTTCAGGCATCATGTCATTTGTATTATTACTCCCCCCCTTACAGCAGAGGAGTCCTGGTGTGGCGCTGTGGGTTAATGCGACAGACTACAAAGCCATTTGAACTGCAAGGTCGGTGGTTCAAGCTCACCAGCGGCTCCTCAGAAACCCTATCCAGGGTCACTATGGGTCAGAATCGACTCAACGGCACTTTACAACAACAACAGATGAGAGGAAGGTAAAACAATTTGTCCTCGTGTCTATCAAAAGAGGAACAAGAAGACACACTGAGGGGTTCTGTCCTGTCCTGCCTTGCTCGCTTTGCTCCTCACTGGTTCCTTAGGGTGCCTGTGTTTGGAGGCCTGCCAGTCTGGGTCCACCTTTATTGCTGCACTGCTTCAAGCATCTTTGCTTACTTGTCTATCTGCTTTCAGATGAGAAGCACCTCCAGGGCAGGACTGTGACATGGAGCCTGGTGGCACTAGTGTGCGTTCAGTAACAAATGCTGAATGAATGAACAAGTGTCAATAAATATGTAGATGATAGCCCAGAGGGAAGAGGATGTGGGCCTGGGTGTGCAGTCGCCATGAGGGCAGGGAGGTAGGGGCAAACAGCACAGGGGAGAAGTGTCTTGGCACTTAGAGGGATCCAGGCGCATCAGCACCTTCCGGAGAGGCCTGGGTCCCTGCCCCTGGCCCGCTGAATCAGAATCTGTTTTAACAAGATCCCTGGTAATTCATTTGCAGGTTAAAGTCTGAGAAGGGCTGGCTAAGACAATGAGCCTGGAGTCCCACTGCATGGGTTCAAACTCTCAATCCACTTCTTATGAGTTGGGTGACTTGTGACAAGCTACTTAACCTCTGTGTCTCCTGTTCCTTATCTGCAAAATGAGTATACACATATGAATTACGGTGGGGACTAAATGGCTCACAGCTAAGTGCCCAAGAAATTCCAGCCATCCTGTGTCCTGCTAAAAGGGGCTTGCAAATAGTTAAGTGCCTAGTGATGACGAACCTCAGTTCCTATTTTGCCAGTTGCCCTACAGGGCAGCTGAGAACACCCCTGGAATCCCAGGAGATGCCAGTGCTGACGTGAGTGGGTGAAAGCTCCCGCAGGCAGACACAGCATCAGGTCTGCGGTACCCACTTTGTAACTTCAGAAATCAGGCTATTGGCAAACGGCTAACTGCTCCCATCAACCAAGTGCCTAACAAGGAGTCAGAGCCTTGTTAGGCACTTGGTTGATGGCGTAAGTAAGTCAAGTTACTTACGCCATCAGCTGACCAGTAGTTCCAGACCTTGATCGTGGCTAGCCCAAAGTCGCGCAGCTGTCTTGTGTTGCGGATAATAAAGGAGAGCTGGAGGGGCGGCTGGAAGGGGCAGGTCCACAAGGCGAGGTCCTTCTTGCTCTGAAATGCCAGCAGGGGAGAAAAGTCATTAAGCACGTTTCTGCTTCCCCCCAAGTCAAAGGCCAGCGTCTGGGGAACTGTGGCACTAATGAGAGGCAGGCAGCAGCGGTTCTGCACCCTCAGTGAGCCCCTCTGACCTCCCACCCAGGCAGCATTTCAATGAGAAATTCAGCAGCCTTATTTGAATCCACATCTGCTCCACATCTGCAGCTCTGCGGTAGGCAGCGGGTGGACGAGCGGGGCATGCACAGGGGTTAGGGAGAAAGTCTAGAGAGCACAGGGAAGGAGCCTCCAGAGCTCCAGGTGATTAACCAGCAAACAGAGCCTTTGATATTCTTTTGTGAAACACTGCAGAATTTTTAAAAATTTAAAAATAGAAAAGAAAGAAACTAGCTCAGGCATTTGTTAGGATGAGGCCATGACACTGAGCCTTGGGATTTTTTCTGTTTCCTTTCAGGGTTTCTAAGCCTCCAGACTCTCGTCTGCAGGTGCGCAGCCAAGGCCTCTCTTTAGGCCGAGAGTCTGGAGGTGTGGCCACCATTTTCATTTGTACCAACAGAACTTCATGTCCTAGCATGTGGTGGAAAATGTGGTCTCAGCTCCAGTCCACCCCCCTGGCCTCTTCTGGACACTAGCCCAGTCTCCATCTGAACAAGTCTCACAGCTGCTCGCATACTTCTCCTCTGGCTGGACCTGGACGCCCGGCACGGGCTGGCTCTGCTCGGGGCTCTTCCTCCCTGACTTAGATATCACGTCTATCTGTTGGCCTGCCTGTACCATTCTCCCACTTCCCCGAGCTTCTCATTCCACTCCAAAACCTTAGCATTCAGCACTGTGCCTTAGCGTCTCTGTGATGGGTGAAATGCACGCCTCTGAAGTTTCACTGAAACATTAGAGAAGAGACTAAATGGGGTCTGGACTGCTGAGGCATTTTATTTGGGTCATAAGTGTTGTAAAAAGGCAAACTCATTGGCAACATTTAAAAACTGGAGAGCTAGTTCACTAAGAGCCAGGTGTCTACAAACTTTCACAAAAGCTATCATGAAGTCTGGTAGACTTGGCACAGGCTGGAGCTGATGGCTGATCTCTTCTGTCACTGCCATAGTCTCCACCACTCCATGCTGCTCCACACCTGACTCACTTCTCACTGACATTCCTGGCCCAGGAGGCTCCAGCCACCTGGACTGTGGGGCCATTGGTCAGAGCCAGGGAAGGAGGAGGCTGGCTGAAGCAGGGCTCTGCAGGCCCCAGCTGCTGGGGAACACACAGGGGGCTTGTTCCAGACAACAATGGTGTCTTTCAGGAGGGAGGAGGTCACTTTTGTTAAGGGGGGTTCTGACGTCTTTTGGCAAGTTTCTCAAGCTCTGCAAACACTTTTAGTGCTCTGGGCAGCTGTGAGGGGTCAAGAAAGCACATCTCCAAACTCAGTGGGGTGAGGGTGAGGGTGAGGGTGAGGGTGAGGCGCATTCCTTAGAGCTGGGGCCTGAAATGGGTCACTGTGGCTGTCTGACAAAGGAAGAGGCTGAAGCCTGACCCTCAGACACAGCGAAGGGACTGTCATTGATTTCCCTTCACATTTCTGTCAGCAGGAGCAATAATGGAGGGCTAAGTGGGAACGGCGGTGTTCAAAGTCAAAGAACATTAACCTGCGGATAACTCAGGGCCTCATTAGCAACGGAGCCTTCTGATGTCTCCTTTCCACAGATACAGCCTGGGTGAGAAAGACTGATTGGGAGCCACCAAGAGCTGACCCAAGGCATGCTGGGTAAATACCCAGATCCAGGCCAGCAGGCAGAGCGCTTGCTCTCCCTCCCTGTTGTGGGAGGGAAGAAAGATGGCAGGGTAAGAATCAGGGCATCTTCACAGTGTTATTTTACCCCATTTGCTCGAAAACCTAGGAGGTGGCTATTCCATGTTACACCTGGAAAACGAGCTCAGTTAAGGGGATGTAATTTGCCCTTAGGTTGCTCAACACCCAAATGACAAGGTGAGGATGTGAACCTAGATTTCTAATTCATTACTATATCTGTCTTCAGTTAGGTGCCCCCGGAAGCAGACCCTGAGGCAAGGATAGGAGTGCACCTAGCTCATGTAGACAGTGAACGCTTCTCGGAATGGAAGTAAAATCGAAGTGGGAAGGTAGCCAATGAGGATGTAGTATCAAATTGGAGCTTCATCCCACAGGGTACTCTGGGAGCCAGAGTAACTCCACCAACAGGCAAGGGAGCTGGGGGTGTATCCACCAACTCCCATAAGCCACTGGCTGAGAGCTGCTCCTGGGCCTCAAGTCCCCACCACTTGGACTCTGGAGGCCGGAGAGAAATCTCCCATCAGAGGCCAGTCAGTGCCGAGCAACTAGTGCACACTGATGGTCCCAACTGGGGGCAGGAGGCTTGTGGGTTAACAGGACACAACAGATCCCAGCTCTGCTACTAGGGGAGGAAAGCATATGAAATTCACAAAAAAAACCCAGGCAGGGTAAATTCTATGATAAAAAATAAGAAAATTATTAATGGCCAATGAAAAGTCTTTTTAGAATGGATGGTGAGCAAAGGATTCCCCGAGGAGGTAACTTTCCAACTCCTAAACCACACGTGCTTTCTATTCCAACATAATCCAACCCATCCCTCGGCCACAAAGTGGCTTTTAGACATCTAAGAAGAGTTGTCAGGCAGGAATTGGACACTAACGTTAGGAACTCAGAGTCGCAGGCAGGGCTGGGTACGTACGTTTAGAGTCACTTTAGAGCTATGGGTCTGGAGGAGGGAGACAGTGTAGGCAGGGAAGGGACCCCTGCGCATCTCATTTTGCCCCATTCACCTCCACTAAAGCAACGTGTCTTCTGAACCACGCAACTCAGGTCTGTTCCCTCAGCTCAGAGCGGTGGCACATCACTCAGCCTACTGGAGACTTGGCTTTCTCATTCATTAAATGAAAGCCACACCCAGGATCATAAAGCCCTCTTAAGGATTCAATGTTCTTGTTAAATGCTGTTGAGTCAGTTATGAACCATAACAACCCTGTATAGGGTTTCCCCGGAGTGGTTGGGGAGCTTGAACTGCCGACTTTGCAGTTCAAACCAACTTTGCAGTCCAGCGCATAACCCACAGTGCCACACCAGGACATGAGATGATGTCAAAGGCCCTGTTCAGTCCCACACCTATGACAAAGATGATTCTAACGCAGGGATGAGGAACGTCCAGCCCCGCCAAGACAACTGAAGTTTCAGTCATCACATTTGTGGTTGTTAAGTGCCGTTGAGTCAGTTCCAACCCAGAGAGACCCTGTATAGGGTTTCCAAGGAGCAGCTGGTGAGCTTGAACCACCGACCTTGTGGTTTAAACCGACTTTGCAGTCTAGCACATTAACCCACAGCGCCACACCAGGACTCCATCACATCAGGGCTGAGTTAATTAAATGTCTGACTCACTGTTGTTGTTATTAAGTGCCATCGAGTCGGTTCTGACCCATAACGACCCTGTACAGGGTTTCCGAGAAGCGGCTGGTAAGCTTGAACTGCCGAACTTGCAGTTCAAATGGCTTTGCAGTCTGGCACATTAACCCACAGCGCCACACCAGGACTCCATTTGACACACTACAGCAGGCTAATTTTTAAGTTGATAATTTTATATGGCCCTGGATGATGTTATAAATATCCAAATGGCCCTTGGCAGATAAAAACACTCCCCACCCCTGTTTGAGAGGCAGCATGTCCTGGGAGCTCCAAGCCTGACTCAAGATGGCTATCAGGAAACCCCGAAGGCAAGGCAGCAGACCAACCTCAGCTGGGCTCAGAGATCAAGCAGCCTGGAGTGAGACAGTTGCCGTATGTCCCAACTTTAGGTCCCCCAAAATTAAAATCCATAAACCCACCAAACCATGGGCCAAAGTCCTCCGTGCTTCACGTGGTGAAGCTCATCAGCCTCTGCTAAACAGAAGCAGAGGAAGAGTAATCGCTGGAATCGGTCCCTATCCAATTCAATGATGCTCTCTACTGCCTTGGCTGCTGAGCCTGCTTCCGGAGTACCACTGTTTCCTGCTCCCAGGGCTGGGGGCCCGAAACCTGGTCCAAGCTGTAGCAGCGTATGCCACCACCTGGAAACCCAACAGCAGAGCAGGGCCTCAAGGCGGAAGCTTCCACATAGCCACTGTCTACAGCGCAGCTTCTTTCCAAGTTCAGGATCATGGAGTTTGGCTCTGAAGGGACTTCTCAGACACAGTCTAATCCAGCCCAGGGAACAGCCCTTTGCTGCCCGATACCTAGCTGCCTTTCTTTTGTAACACCCTGAAGTCCTTTCGGGGGAATTCCTTGCTGCCCCGTGGGGCAGTCTTAGTAAAACTGGCATCGAGATGACATGCCTTCCTAGCCAAAGAGTGGGCCCTTGACCCAAGCTTGTCCCATCAGCCTCTTCTGGGACTAGATATCTGGAACAAAGTGATAGGAGGACAAACCAAATGAACCAAACAACAAATACCTGCCACCTACCTGCCCCCCACCCCCCAACACACACACAAGGAAAGAAACTTAAGCCCTGTGTGAGGACACCCAGAATGCCACCTAGGATGAACCCCTGCATGATCAGTGGGCCTGTCCTCTTCTAGCCAGGTGACAGTGTGGCTACTAGCTACTCAAAAGACGTAAAAAATGTCTTTGAAAGATCAACAGTTGACCTTAGATGGATGCTTTCCAGACTCTAGTCACCACCCACCAAAGTAGGATATACAACATTGTCTCTATGGACTATGTTATACCAGTCGACCCCTGAGACTAGTCCTGTGTCCCCAGGGCCAAGGTGTTCGGGTATGGCTAAGAGGTTTCATAACTTTGCCCTCTGTGTGCTCGACTACATGCATGGACATATTTGTAGCACATCTAAATATCTACACAGAAATATCATCTGAGTGTAGTCCCATTTGTCTACCTATACCTGCTCAGCTGGCATGTCTATCCACCTATTCACTTGAAGACAGAATGCAGGACTGTGTAGGTAATAACCTTTTCTTTTGGGGTCTATCCTATTTAGGATTCATTGAGCTGCTTGAATGTGTGTATCTTCTCATCTTTCATGCTATCGGGGTTATTTTCTTCTAGCAAATCTTTGACAACTTTCTCAGTGCTTTTCTTGTCTCTTCCTGGTTTTGGAATTCTGAAGACACGTAAGTCATTCTTCTTCATGGAGCCCCGTGTAATTCTTAGTGTCTTCATTATTTTTTCCATTCTTTTTTATTTAAGAAAACACTCCTTTAACAGAATAGGATTGAGAGATTTACCTTCAATTTCCCTAATTCTACCTTCCATTGAAGGAGCTCTGGTAGCGTAGTGGTTACGAATTGGGCTGCTAATCTCGTGATCAGCAGTTCGAAACTACCAGCTGTTTCACAGGAGAAAGATGAGGCTTTCTGCTCCCGTAAAGATTTACAGCCTCGGAAACCCTGTGCAGTCACTATGAGTCGGAACGGACTCCACGGCACATAACAACAACAACCTTCCATTGATTTACTTCTAATGTATTACCTATTTCTGAAGTTTTAGTATTAGTATGGACTTCTAGTTGTTTTCTAATTTTCTATTTATCAGTTTCTTCTTGTATTGTTCTTCTGTATTTTTTTTAGAAATTTATTTGTTTTCCTTAATATTGTCCATGATTTCTTTGGTGTTGTCTTTTTTTTATCATTCGTTTGAATTTCTTCTCAGGTTGTTCTGATATCTTGTTTTTGTGTATGTGATTTGAAGTTGTCTGTTGTTTCTGAGACACTGTAGGATTCCTGTATTAATTTGCTGATTCTATGTTGTTTTGCTTTCAGCCTGATTTTCATTATATCTGGGCAGGCATGGCACGCTGGTCACTAGTTTGGCAGCATTGGGGTACTCAACACTTATTTCTGGGTGCGTTTGGTAGTGAGTGGGAGTGTGTAGAGCAGCTGAGGGTGGGCTGGGCGGGAGCTGGTCAGTCTGTGGTAGATCGAGCAGTACTAGAGTGGGAGGTGGCCCCTGCCCGTGAGTGGGGTGGCAGGTATGGCATGGCTGGGTAAAGTCACTGGCTCTTGACTGACAGGAAGGAAAAAAAAGGGGGGGGGAGTGGAGGAAAAAGGAAGGAAAAAAAGAAAAGAAAGGAAACAAGGGAGGAGGAAGAGGAAACATCTAAGGAGAAAGATAAAAGAGACCCTGCTGGTTGGGAACGCAGCTCCTTGGAAGGGCAGAGGCAGCTGGTGCTCTTAGAGACCAAATTTTAAAAAGTGGGGGAGGAAGGAACAAAGAAACCAACTAGGGGGAGGGCAGAGGTGAGGGGTGACAAGCGCTAGCTGCCATGGGAACGCAGGCTCATCCTGCGGAAGCATGTACAACTGGCTGGCTGCAGAGCGATGGGGCGGGCGCCCACCCCATAAGGTCAAAACACAGAGGGAGAAGTTCATCAAGAAATCATCACAGGGAGGACGACTGAACTGAGAAGAAGGAAAGAGAAGAGGGACAGCAGGGGCACACATGGCAGCAGGAGGAGCCACTCTGCTGACCATGAGGGACAGAGGGCATGGAGCGTCCACTCCACAGGATGGGAAAGGAGGGAAGCAGTAGGAAGAACGAAAGAGTGATTGGGTGTGAGAACTGATGGCTTTAGGTGGGTGGGGAGAGGAGTGGCCAGGCCTCTGGTCACAGTGGGTTGTGCAGGTAAGGGCAGAAATGGCACCTCTCTGTCCACTGATCACTGAGGTAAATGCTGGTGCAGTCCTGGGCTATCAGAACTTCCTTGTCCATGGTTTTTGTTCAGTCTCTTCCGTGAATCAGTAATTTATCTATTTCTTTATCCTTTCCTTTGAAACTCTGGGTTCCAGGCTTACCATCCATATCTATTTTACTTGGTTTCTTGGGTCTTTGTTGTAGAGGTCTAGGTTGTAGATCTATCTACTACATCATCTTACATTGACCTCTACCAGTGTCTTTAAAAAAAACTCTGCTGAATCATTAAAAGAAGGCAACTTTGAAAGTCTGAGTGCTTATTCCATGCCAGGGACTTTGTCCCCAAAGCAGCAGAACCCTGAATGGATGTGACGTGGGCTCACCCGGCCTCACTCTTTCCAGCTTTGTCACTTTGACCAAATGTATAAAATGAGGATGTGTGACTCAACAGCTCCTGAGGACCTACGTTTGGTGGCAACTGTGGTAAATTGCCAAGCAGCTAAAAGGCGGTAAATTGGCTTTTCTTATCTACCCCCTACCCCCTAAACCCACAGGGCGAAGATCTGGAAAGAGCTTCAGGGAGACATAAACCTTTACTGGCACCTTTCCCTCAGGCCCAAATGAATGATTGTGGCAGATTACATCATCCTCCCCTCTCCCCACAAGGAGCTCTGGTAGCAGTGTGGGTTATGAGTTGGGACTGCTAACTGCAAGGTCAATAGTTCGAATCTACCGGTTGCTCCATAGGAGAAAGATAAGGCTTTCTGCTCCCGTAAATATATTCAGCCTTGGAACCCTTCTACAGGGTCACTATGAGTTGGAACTGACTCGTTGGCACATAACCACCCCCACCACCCCCTTCCCACAGCAGCACCCTGTACTGTAGGTGTCTTATTAGAAACACAGCAAATGCATGAAACACCTGCAAAGAACAGACCCGTTGTCTCTCCACTTACAGCCAAGTTCCGGTTGACGAGACGGCCCAGGTCCCCAGGCATGTCTGCATTCAGAATGTCTACATCGTGAGGCAACACATAAAGCTTGCTATTTTTCAGGTCAAAGAACTCAACTTCCGTGAGCCCCACCCATGCTGTGCTGCCCCAGTTGGACAGGATTTCCATGGTCACAAAGATGGCATCCTTCATCTCTTCTGCTTTCATCCTCAGCTCACCCTAAAAGAGAGAAAAAGAGCGACCTAGCAGGTTTGAATTCAGCCCTCCCATGATGTATATGCCCTTCACCTACTTATGCAACCTTCAGTGTCTCTGAGCCATACTCTGCACAAAGGAAAATGACAGTGACCACAATGCATATGGCTACTATGAAGATGAATGGGGTCATATTTAAAACACAGTTACTGTCTGGGTTTGCACTTAGTAAGCATTGGGAAAGAGATGGGTATAAATGGAAATGTTTAAAAAGCATCAGATTCTGACGGAACATCCTCTTTTCTCCTCCACAGTCCCATATTCATGTCCTGCTGTGATTTCTGTTGAAACCCTAACAAAGGCCCCATGATCTTGGACAAGTCACTTTACGCCCCTCAGCCTGTTCCTGGCTGGGAAGAAGGAGATGGCCCATCTCGCGATGTGCTGTCATGGAGACTGAACGAGACATTCACCCAAGACGGCTGCGCCTGCATACTCTCCAAAGTGTCCATTTCCTCCTGCTCTCTCCATCACTGATGTCAATCCCAGGCAGGCTGTCTGGCCTGAGAGTCTGCGTGAATGCCATCAATAAACAGCACACTGCAGAGTGGCTTCCTGGGGCCTCTCTAGGGCCTGGATGCAGCAGCAGCCGGCATGGATCAGTCGCTCATGAAATGGTGCCTTCCCTGTGTGCACATGCCCTCTGTTAATTAGTGCTGGTAATCTGCAATGCTTCTGCGAGCAGGGAGCTGAGCAAATGAACAGCAACTGCTCCCTACTTATTTTTTTAATTAATAGCTAGCGAGACGTGCTATGGCTCTCAGCGGGTCTGGATGAGGCTTGACTGCCACACCACGTGGTTGGGGCTGGGGAGGGAGGGAGGAAGGGAGGGAGGTCAGCACAGAGCCCCTAGGAGGAACAGGGCCTATTTTTATTAGCTCAGACTGTAGAGCCCGCAGCTGCCTTCTCCGCCACTACCATGCGGGGTCCCCGGCTGGCAGGACAATGATAAACCTAAATGGGCCTGGCTCACACAGGGCAGGTAGGGGGGCTGGGGAGGTTAATGAGCTTGTGCTTATGAGGAGCAGTGTGCTACCACATGAAAGGTCTGGAAGGGGTGGGGATGGAAAACCAGATGGAAGGCTGCTGGGTCCCGAGCCCAGTGCCATGGAGAATGTGTCCACTCCTGCAGTGTGTTTCTAAATGAAGATGCTGAAGGGTCTATTAGCTGGGAAACACCACAACTTGGCATACCCTGGCTTCCTCGAGTGCTTGATTTAGGATTCTTCTTGGGGATCTGGCATGAACACTTGTTGGGAAGGTCCCTGGTTCCTGACACTCAATGGTCCCTCTCACCACCTGGTTTCCCTTTGGGGAATTCACCTTTTTTTACTTGCAGCAGTGAAGCTTAGGGAGACTGAGCCCTCCCCAACTCGAGAAAGAATTTGACTAGTCCAAGCCAACCAGTTAGCTGCATCCTCATCCTCTTCCTCCAGGATGCTCTTTCTGTAGCCACATGCTCTTTTACATGTGGCTTTGGGATGACCTCATGTCAGATCCTCACTGCCAATCATAAAGATGGTACAAATAATCATGAGAAAGGCGGGTAGAGGAAGGAGCGAGAAGGCGGTACCAGGACCCAGACACCTCACACAGAAGCAGAAAGGATCCCCTGCTAGCCTACCACCTGCCCCTCTACAGGGAAGGCTGCAGCTCGGCCAACATCTTCACACTGGACCCCATGAAGATTAACAGCACCCAATGCAGTTAAAGGAGCTCTGGGAGCGCAGTGGATATGAATCGGGCTGCTAACCTCAGGGTCAGCAGTTTGAAACTACCAGCTGTTCTGCGGGAGAAAGATAAGGCTTTCTGTTCCCGTAAAGATTTACAGCCTTGGAAACCATGTGCAGGGTCGCTATGAGTCGGAACCAACTCGATGGCACTTAACAACAACAACACTGCAATTACCTTTACAGCCTTGATATTTTCTATCGGCAAAACCGGCATGATGACAACATTCCAAGGTTAAAGCACTGTGTTGTGTAGCACGTTCCTGATTAACTCATTATGGACTATTTGGGTCATTCCCATGGCTGTCTTTTCTTTTTCTTTTTCATTTCTTTCCTGCTTCCAGTAATGCTGCTACAGACATGTTTGTGCCTAAAGATTTTTATATCTCTTGAGGCAGTTCCTTAGAATTAGGAAGTGAGCTTACTGTATAAGGAGGACATAGATTCCACGACTCTGGCTAAGTCCTGCCGTTCTGCTTTTCAATAGTGTTTCACCCATTCATATTGCCCCCAGTAGTGTACGACCACAGCACCTTTACTGTAACCTCGCCAGCACTAGAGCTATCAATAAAAATTATGTGTTAACTTAGATTATCAAATAGAACATTAAGGTTGGTCTAATATGCATTTTTTTTTGAAATGTTGGGCATTTCTTGGGATTCCAGGCTACTTGTATCACCTCTTGAGTGGACAAGCTGCTCTCTCTGGTGCAACTTCTGGCCCACATCCCCTTTTCTCGGCTCTTCTCGCTCCATCACATGCACACCTGTGCACAGGGCAGGAGGAGGGATGGAGACTCTGGCAGAAAGATGCTAAAGCTACCACCATCAAAGCAATCCTCATGAAATAGAAAGAGCCGCTCCAAGGCCCTTCCAGCCTCTGCTCTGAATGCACCTTGTAATTCCCGTAAGTGGAGGGTCCTCACTCACCTCTGGATGCGGCCCTTGTTCCTCAGTCGGTAAAATCGTTTGGCTGAGGTGGGCAGAGTCACTGTCGGTGGCCTGGGGGACTTTCAGAAGCTTCTGCTGCTGTCTGAAAATGAGATTGGTTTAGTAAGCAGATGGTAACCAACATCACCCAAAGAAACATGCCCATCCAGGACATCACACTGACCTTTCTAGCTCACAGAGAAGTAGCAGCTAAAGAAGCAAGTCTGCACTCTGCAGACCCCTCAGAGGGGCGCCCAGGCCCTTTTCTCCCTTTAGCATCACTTTACAATCAGGGATGAAATCAAAGTAAGAGAAACCCTGTTTGCGGAGAGGCTGCCCGCAGACCTTGAGCTTCCAGAACTCAGAATACGCGAGAGCAGGGGTTGGCGGCCAGCCGCCTGTATTTCAAATCTGGCCTGTGGCCTGTTTTTCCTATGGCCTGTGAACTAAGAATGTTGTTGTTGGTTTTCTTTTTGGTTGTTTGCTTTAAAAGCACAGCCGTATATGTTGGCAATGGTGGTCAAGGTAGAATTTCCACCTCCCGTGTGGGGGACCTGGGTTCGATTCCTGACCTGTTGCCTCCCGCATAGCCACCCCACCGTTGGTCAGTGGAGGTTTGCATGTTGCTATGGGGTCCTGGTGTGGCGCTGTGGGTTAATGCGCTGGACTGCAAGGTTGCTTTGAACCACAGTGGGTCGGCAGCTCAAACTCAGCAGCCACTCCTTGGAAACCCTATACAGGGTTGCTGTGAGTCGGAACCAACTCAGTGACACTTACAACAACAGCTCAGGGACACGTAACAACAACAACAACATGATGCTGAGCAGGCTTCAGCAACGCTTCCAGGCTAAGAAGGGCTAGAAAGACAGAAGAAAGGCCTGGTGATCTCCTTCTGAAAATCAGCAAGGAAATCCCTGTGGATCCCAACAGTCTGATCTGGGGCTGGCGCAGGACTGGGCCGCGATTTGTTTTGTTCCGTTGTGGGTGGGATGACCAGGGATCAGGGGCGAAGTCAACAGCGGTAGCCAACAACAAAGTGTCTGCTCTCCGTTCCTTTACAGAAAGTTTACCAGGCCCCACTCCAGAGACGTGCTTTGTGCCTCTTTCTGAGAACACAGGCCTTCCATACCCAGCGGATACGCCTGTGTCCTTTGCAAACAGACCCCATGAAGGCTGGCTGAGGCTGTAGATCCCCAGCCTCTGACACACAAAGCCTCCTAATGGTGAAGCCAGCAGCATTTGGCTACATGTGTGCTCCATGTAAAGAAAATGCCATCTGTGGACAAAAGACCTCCTGGCTCAAGCCTTTCATGTTCAGGGGAAATTACAGGTTCTCTCTATTGACCAAGGTGGTCTGCAGCCACGGTTTCTTCTTGGTGGTCTATCGGCTCTTGCATAGCATTACTGTTAAGTGCCACTGAGTCACTTCTGACTCATAGCATCCCTGTTTGGGTGTCTGAAGAGTGGCTGGTGAGTTCAAACTGCCAACCTTGCAGTTCAAACTGACCTTGCGATGCAGTGTTTATCTGACCGTGCCACACCAGGACTCACACAGGATATAGGGCTGCTATCCTATTATATCCTATAATAAGTCTATTTAGAATTTTTATGTAAATTATGAAGAAGAACTGCATTGGATGGACACATTGACTGGAACAGAGAGAAAGCGCCCCCGCCTTCTGGGCCGATGCAGCCTCGTGTCAGGCTGGGTTTCAGCCCCTTGTGCTCCCAGCGGCACCTGGCACAGTCCACGATGTACACAGCTCTGCCTGGCAGCTCAGGACGGTGGTTATAGTTGCAGCTGCGGCATACTGGAACTGCAGGTTCAGCCTGGGGGTCTTTCTGAAGGCTCGATTTAGTCTGAAGACTGGTGGAGGCCTTAATCTTGATCATCAAACAGGTGTGCTGCGTATTAATGGACAGGATGCTATTCTTGGACAAGCTTTTAAGTGAAAAAAGGAGCCAAGGGACATGGTACTGGTGTGGCTGCTTTGTCCCGTGTTCCTGTCCCCAGCCACCTGGGAACCAGTTTACTTCCCTCTGCTGCACAGGATACTCCAGCGGGAACCTTGAGACCGGTGGCATTTTATAGAGGTGGGGACTGGGCTGAACAAGCAAAAGCCATCTTCCTGAGAGAAATTAAGCCAATTTTATGCTTTAGGTTTGGAGGGGTGAGGCCAGATGCCGTCTAGAGGGACAGCTTAAAAGAAAGTCGCATAAGAAATACAGAGAAAACCCACAGTTAAGATCCTTGTGGTTTCATTGCCATGACTTTCTCTGTGTGTGTGTTCTTAATGCCAGTCTCTTACGCAGTACCTGCTTCCCAAAAGGCCAAGTCTATCGGTGGCTTCATTGCTGCCTCTATCTCCCCCTGCTTCCCTGGATGGCTCCGACCCCGGCTCCTGCGTGGAGGTTCCCAAGGCAATGGGAGGCAGCTGAAGATGGAAAAGCTTATTAGTCACATGTCCAAGCAACACTCCTGACCCAAGCCACAGCAGAGCGCTAGCTGAGGTGACACATACGTCAGTGAGCAATGAGCGAGAGAGCGATAGTATCAGCCTGGGCCGATTAGATCAAGAATCTTTCACACATCTTTGCAAAATGGCAGGACCTCAGTTCCTTATGGTCTGGGAGGTCTGAGGTAGTCGAATTCAATGACCTTATTGAACAAATTCCATTATCCAAACATTTCAAGGTCTCAACTGAACCCCTGTTCTGTTTGCTGCAACGTTATCAGGGTCTATCCAGATTCTAGAACCATCATTAGGCCCTTTCTATTTTAATCTTCCAAGCTTTTCCCTTTCCTTTTCATTCATTTTCCAAAGGAGAAATGTGCTCTGTCCTCTAACTGCAAATGTTCTTTGTGTGTGGTCAAAAGCTGAGGATCACAAGTCAGCTCATCCAGACATCCTGGACACTGGCATGGGCAGTGCCACCACAGAAAACAATGACTACTTTAGGGGCAATTAGAAAAAGAAACCCACCACAGGGCTTTGGGGAGTTGTGTACACTTAGCACTCTCTCCCTTCCCCACCCTCTACCCTTCCTCTTTGCTCACCTTCTCCCTTCCCCCAACCTCTCTCCTTTCTCCCACTGTCCCACTTTCTTCATTCTCTGCTTTCCTCACCCCATGTCTCCCTTCTCCCTGACCCTTGGCCTTCTGCCTCTCTACCTTCTCCTTACCCTCTCTCTCTCTTCTCCACTGTCTTCCTCCCCTAACCCCAATCTCTTTTTTTTACTTCTCACTCTTCCTCCCCGCAACTTCTCTCTCCCCACTAAGTGCTGGCTTCTTCCTACACCTTGATTGAGCCTGAGAATTTCGATTTCACAGCTTCCACCTAGAATACTGTTCTCTATTGTCTCCTTCCTAACAGGCAGGTCTCAGCTCAGGTGAGCCCCATCTTGGGGTCTTTTTCAATTGCTCTATCAGGGGTAGGACTTCTGGTGTGGCATTGCCAGTTAATGCGGTAAACTGCAACATCGGTTTGAGCTGTTAAGGCCGGCAGTTCTAACTCACCAGCTGCTCCTTGGAAACCCTGTACTGGGTCGCTATGAGTCGGATCCTGACTCGATGGCGTTTAGCAACAACAACATCAGGGGTAGGAAGTAGCCACCACTCCACAGTCGACACTTTCTTGCCCATTGGCTACTTTTATTGTTGTTATTGTTGTGTGCCATAAAGTAGATTCCAACCCATAGCGACCCTGTATAGGGCTTCCAAGGAGCAGCTGGTGACCTTGAACCACCAACCTTGCAGTTCAAATGAGTTTGCAGTCTGACACATTAGCCAGGACTCTACACCAGTCCACACTAAGATGCCACTTTTATTGTTATCACTTTCTAAAGTCACCTCTGGACCAATGAATAAGTCAAGACAAATGGAAACAAGATTGAGGTTGTCATAGACTACATTTTGCTTGGATCAACCAACACTCATCAAAGCTGCAGTCAAGAAATCAAATGACGCATTGCATTAGGCAAATCTGCTGCACAAGAACTCTTTAAAGTGTTCAAGAGAAAAGAAGTCAGTTTGAGGACTAATATGTGCTTGGCCCAAGCCAGGGTATTTTCAATAACCTCATATGAATGTGAAAGTTGGGCAGTGAATAAGGAAAACCCCAGAAGAATTGATGCATTTGAGTTGCGGTATTGGAGGAGAATTTTCAAAGTACCATGGACTGTCAAAGGAACAAACGAATCTGTATTGGAAGAAGTAAAGCCAGAGTGCTCCCTAGAAGCTAGCATGGTCAGATTCATCTCTCATACTTAGGGCACATTATCAATAAGGACCTGTCTCTGGAGAAGGACATCATGCTTGGTAAAGTAGAGGGTCAGTAAAAAAGAGGAAGACCCCCAACAGGACGGATTGGCACAGTGGCAGCAGTAATGGACTCAAGCGTGGCAGTGACTGTGAGGTTGACATAGGTCCGGGCAGTGTTTCCTTCTGTTGTACATCAGGTTGCTGTGAGTCGGTACTGACTCCAAAGCACCTAACAACAACAACAACAACAAGTCACCTTGTTGGTAAGTCGGTTTCAGCTCACAGTGACCCTGCGTAGGGTTTCCGAGAGCAGCTGGTGGGTTTAAATCGCTGATCCTAGAGTGCCTGCTGCCTGTAAGCTCCGTCTTAGTCACCTCAGCAGTCAGAGCACATGACCTAAGAATTTTAGTAACTCATCTTTATCTACTGAGGTCATCTTTCCTGAGATATGCCAAATTGATTTTGATATAGAAATAATTTACTTATTCAGGGCACTAAGATCTGTTTTTGTGTGTTTCTGTTGGGAACTAGAAACTTCCTGGAGTTGGAATTGCCAGCCTGGGTGTGAATCTTGTCGCCCACTTGCACCCCAGTGCTAGCTGCTCAGTCTCATCTCCTCTCTGTGAAAGAACAGAAGGACAACGCTGGTGCTGTTTGTCTCCCAGGGCGCAGAGGACCTGCTGGGCCGTGGGAAGGAGAGCCCTGGGGGCTGTGTGTGCTGTTGGGGGTCTCTGCTGCTCCTCTCGGTCTTTCACTGACCTCCAAGGACAGCATCTCTTCCTTGTCCTTCAGCAGGCTGGCCCAGGGCTTGGCTGCTGGTTCCTCAGCATCCTGAAATGATATAATCATGCGGTAGGAGGTCAGAACAAAGTCACTCAGTGCCTTCTTCACTTGTCAGGGACAGGGACCTGCTCTCGATGTACACACATCAGCAGCAGGGACAAAGCACAGAGCTCCGGAAGCACAGAGCCCCAGACAGTGGCCCCGCCAGCCAGACTGGAGGAGCCCCAGTGGAGTGGATAGGGCCGGGCCTGCAGGCAGGCAGCTCCAGCCACTTGCAAATATGTGCCCTGAGCACACCACTTGGCTTATGTGGGTGGCAGCAGCGGCATGAACAGCATGGGGCCATGAGCCAGGCCTGCTGTTCACTGTGAGCATGAAGTACGGCAAGCTAAGAACTAGAGGCAGGGACCTGCTTCCAAGAAAGGACATGCATACTGAGGTTATGACCAAAGTTCCCAGACCCCAGGGCTGCCCACTCCATCCCGCCATCTATCCCCCAGCTGGTTGCTTAAGCCACAGCAGGCAGAGGGCACAAACTCCACTCCAGGTGGGCCAGGCAGGTCTCATTACCAAGTGAAGTGGTCGGAAACCAGAGAGCAGATACCTGAAGGCTCCTGCTTGCCTGCAGCTCTGAGGAAGAGCTCTCCAGAGAAGCCCCATTCTTCCCTGCTTCAACTTCCTTCTTGCAGGAACCCACTTTCTCCCCTCCTCTCCCTCCCTTGTCTCCCCCTCCCTTTCCCCCACCCTCTCCCTTCTCCTCCCTGTGTCCCTTAGTCCCAACTTCTCCTTTCCCCCTCCCTTCTCCCCATCTCTTCTTTCTCCCCTTCTTCCTTTCCCCCACCCTCTCCTTCCTAACCCCTCTCCATTTACAACCCTGCTGTAAGGGACCCATTTCTTGTCGGAAGCCCAGGAAGAAGCTTAGCTTCCAACCTTGGCTCTTTCTGAAAGACAGTGGAGGAGATTTGGGCTTTGGTAGACCAGTGAGTGATGCCCCGTGGGATCAGAGGTGATGAAGCCTCCCACAGCTCTCTCTTCTCTCATGTGCTATTTCAGCTGGGTGGAGAGGCTGCCTGGAAACACACCTGCAGTTGGCTGGCTGGCAGCTCAGCCTTTCTGCGTTGGAGCGCCTTCTGCAGGGCTTCATTCTCCACCTGGATGGCTCGGAGCACGGCCGAGGCATCTTCCTCCCGGTCCTCCGTCTCTTGCACTGCTTTTCGGGATGCTGACAGGGGTCTCTCCCATCGGCTTCCAGGTCCTGGAGGCAGAAATAGGAGGATGCTCTTCAGAGCACAGCTCAACAATGACGAGACTCAAATGGAGAGGTATTCCCTAAACCAGATGGACTGCATTTGCTAAACACACCAGGGTCAAGGAGGAGACTGGAGAGCCCTGGAGTCGGCAGTGAGCTGATGTGTGATCCAGTCCTGGGTCCTAGATGGCAAATACACTGCTAGACAGCACTGTTGTGACAGTCGGGTGTGGGGGGGGAACTGAGGGGGGTCTGCGGCTTCTAAATGGGACCATTAGAGATACCCTGGGAGACACATCAGTAAAGTACAATGGTGTCCACGACTCAGTCTCAGATGGTTTAAGGATACGCACACATCCACACCAACTCCTCAAGCACTGGCATGGTTAGGTTCCAAAGACCAGGCTGTGACAAAAAAAAATGGAGGATGATCATCACATAGGTCACAAAACGGGAAGATGACCACATCATGACGTAACTGCTAAACCTCGGAGAATCATGGCCTAGCCAAGTTTACACATACATGGAATTTTCAAAAAGTTCATGGAAAAATCCCAATATCTTTCCATTCCATTTTCCCATGAACTTTTTGAAGCTCCCTCCTAGCCTTAACCATCACAGTCATGGATACTCTCACCTTGCACCCTGGTGTCTACTACTGACAGATCTATGTTGTTAAAGCACAAAACAGTTGGAGATTAGCCTTTTCTCTATTGCTGGAAATATGCAATGCGGGTCCTGGGTAAGTGAGGACTAGGTATAGCTGTGTGTGTAGATAGAGAATATGAAAAAGCAACTGGGGCAAAATGCTAACAAGTGGAGGATCTGGGTGGAGTTAATTGTACATTAAAACTTTTAAGTACATTTGACATGGTATCAAAATAAAAAGTCATAAAAATAACTCAAGCAAAAGAAAGTCAATCCTAGTTATTTGTAGCCACTATGCTGCTCCTAGGAAACACTACGCAGGGTTGCTACGGGTCAGAACCGACTTGAGGCAAACAACAACATGGTCTAGTATAACGGAGTCCTGGTATGGTGTTGCAGGATAAGCACTGGACTGCAAGGTCAACAGTTCAAACTCACTAGTCGCTCCTTGGAAACCTTACACGGGGTTGCTTTAAGTCAGAACCAACAACAACATGCTCTATAAAGTCACTGGACATTGAGCCACTTCTAAGGGAAATACAAAATTAGGTTCCTGTGAGCTTCGGGTCACAATTCTGTCAACTGATCAATACGCAACCTGAGTTTATGTATGTTTTTTTTTTAAATTTTGTTTTATAGACACCTTGTTTAGCATACACTATTGACATGTTAATGGTACTCAACCCACAGCAAGCAACTATAACTTGGGCCTGAACGTACGTAAGCTTGTTTAACACATGTACTTTCTCAAAAAGGCACATCACAATCTTCTGGTTCTTAGAAACACTACACAACACATTAGCACTACACTCAGGGCCATTTTAACAGAAACATCTCTAACAAAAAGGACAAAAGTACAAAAAAAAGGCACTCACTAACTGTAAGAAGGGTGCTTGTCCCCAGTCTCAGCACTGAGACACTTGTCAACAGGCAAAGCGCCACCCTGCTTGACCTCAGCTGGGAACATGCACTTGTTCACAAATGTCCAAAAAGCACCGTGAATCTGGACTTTACAAACAGGGGCTTCATAAACAATGAGTATCACCTGAGCCTATTAGGAACCTTCCTGATGGACAACATCAGGAAGAGGGATGGAGTGCTTTTCCTTTGTTGTGTTTTGTTCTTGCTGGTGTACCAAGTATCGAGAAGCAATTGCACCTCAATTTAAGAAAAGAAAATATAATGCCAAGTGGCAGTCAATTGTGGAAGTCTCAATGTACAGACAATGGGTTTTATAAAGTGAAATGCAAAAAGCACCTAACAAGACTAGCTAGCTAACATAAATTATGGTCTATCCACTCACTGAGGTACTATGCAGCCCTAAAAAGCCACAGACGTGATAAATAACACAGAGAATTACGGCAGAAATGCTATGGAAACCCAAGAGAAGCGGAGTAGGGTAAGGGAGGTTGGGAGTGCAGGGAGAGCCGGCAGGGTGGGCCTCATGGTGTACCTGGCACCCACCCTCCAGGCTATACCACTAGGTGGGAGACATGTGGTGTATTCACAGAGCAGCAACATTGCAGATGGGGCTGCGGGAGGGTGAGCAGGGTAGAGGCTGAAAAGGTTTGGGTGGGGGAACGTGGAGGCCACTGTAGGATTGTTATTCTATGTAAAATGGTGAAATTTGATCAAGCTTAAATGATGAGTAGAATATAGACTGAAGTGATACAAGGCAACAAAGAGAAAGGACCAGTTGTTGGAACTATGGCCTTAATGAGAGAAATGACACTGGAGACTGCATGATAGAATTTTACAAAAGCAACCAATAATCCACCTCAAATACCTGTTTTTAACACCATAAAGAGTAACTATACACATGGGTCTCACCAGATGGAATGCACAGGAATCAAATCGACTGTATCTATGGAAACAGCTGGTAGTGAAGCTCAGTATCATCAATCAGAACAAGGCCAGAGGCTGACTGTGGAACAGACCATCAATTGCTCATATGCAAGTTCAAGTCGGAGCTGAAGGAAATTAAACAAGGAGAGAAAGATCCAAGATGGTGGTCTACACAGACATGCTATCTAAGCCCTCTCTACAACAAAGAGTCGAGAAACTAAGTGAAACTGATACTGATGATAATGTTAGAACTCTGAGCTTCAAAGTAAAAGATAAAGAGGCAAATCAAATACTGGTGAGAAGAAACTGAACCAAAACAATGAACTAGGAGACATAAGAAGCAGCTGGTCAGGCAGAGCCTAACTATTTTGAATTATTTCAAGCAGTGTTCATATCAGAGCAGGAACCAGATAACCAAATCTGCTCACCAGGACTGCACTAGTGACAACACCAGTGACCAGCAACCAATAGCCAGAGAGTTGTGATCTCCCCGTTTACGTCCCACACCTTCCTGGTGGCCAGAAATGTGGCCACCCCTCCAATAGCCAGTAATGCCCCCTCGGCTCTCCTTACTTCCCAGCAGCCCTCTCCCTCTGCATTCCTCTGATGACCTGGGTCAAGCTCATGAGAAACAAGGAAATCATGCCCACCATCTCTGAGGTTGGTGAGGCATGCTCTTGCAAATTGGGTATCACGCATCTACCACCCCTCACTTGGAAGTGCACTCTCTTGCAAATCCACAGTTGTAGCGGATTTGATTCCTGTGTCTCCATCCAGCGAGGCCCATGTGTCACTGTTTATGTTATTTTTTTAAAAAGTAAAATTCTAGCATGTAGTCTCCATCATCAAAGTTGTATTTTCCAACTACCGATTCTTTCTCTTTGTCTCTAACCTCTGTCTCCAGCAGTGTGTTCCACTGCAGACCGGACACCATGCCCCCACCTCCTCTTTCATTTTTTCCCCTTCCCTTGTTTTTCTTTCTTTCTTTTTTGCTTTTATTCTCCACATTTATTTTGGTCACATCTGGCAGGAGACAGCAACCAGGTCCATACTACCGAGACACAGCCACCCTTCCTGCTGCTACACCCACTGGGTGAATGTCACCTTCTGACTGACAAGAGACAGCAGTCAAGACCATCCAAGTCAACCCTCAACTTCTCTATGTGAACAGCAAACCAGACCAAGAACTGTGCATACAGTTCCATCTGCTACTGGTGTAGCGCCGTGGGCTAATGCACTGGACTGCAAAGTCATTTGAACCACAAGGTCGGTGGTTCAACCTCACCAGCCACTCCTTGGAAACCCCATACAGTGTTGCTATGGGTAGGAAATGACTCGCCAGCACTTAACAATAATCACACCCATCGGGAGAGGTAGTGAGTGCCAAAGTGCTGTCAAACCTCACTTGCCCATATATCAAACCAAAGCAAAAAACTTGGGCAAAGCATACCAACATATAACTATCAAATATATACAATAATACCACAGTGTGTCTGAGACAGCAGACAACCTCAGTTCATACAAAGAAACAAGGCAAGGTGACTAAAATAAGTGACAAAAATACTGAGCCAGAAAACCTTCCTGAGGAAGAAATGATAGTGGAACTACTTGATAAGGAATTCAAAAGAACTCTATTTAGGATCCTGTAACAAGGAAAACACAGACAAAAATAAAACACAAACAGAACTCCGGAAGAATTTAGGAAACAATACCAGAATAAATTGACAAAATACATGGAAAGTTAGAAACCATAGTAAAATAAAAATCCAGAAGATTAATACAGATTAGCACTAAAATTTCAGAAATTGAAATGTCTTAGAAGGACAAAGGAGTTGAACTGAATCAATGGAGACAGAATTAGTGAAATTAAAGACAAATTTCTCAAAACTAATCTGTTAAAGGAACAATCAGAAAAAATAATGGGAAGACAAACAGGAAAGAAAGCCTATGAATTCTGTGGGATACCTTCAAGGGGAACAATTTAAATGTGATCAGAATTCCAGAGCAAGAGGAGAAAGACCAAAAAAAAAAAAAAAAAAAAAAAACAACCCACCAAGATGTTGAAAATTTATTGGAAGAAAACTTCCCTAGTACCATGAAAAATGTGAAGATATCTATTTAAGAAGCTCAGTGAACCCCAAATAGATAGACCCCAAAAGAAAATTACCAACATATATCATAATCAGTCTTTCCAAAATCAAACACAAGGCAGCAGCTTGGGAAAAATTAAAAGTTACCCACAAAGGAGAACCAGTAAGACTAAGCTCTGATATCTTGACAGAACCACACATGAAAGAAAGCATTTATAAGATGACAAATATAAAACCTTGAAAGAAAAAAATTGCCAACCAGGAATTACATATCCAGCAAAAGTAACCCCCAAATGATGGCAAAATTAGGTCATTTTCAGATAAATACAAATTAAGGTAATTTGTGAAAAAAACAAAACCAAAATCCAACCTTACAAAATATGCTAAAGGGATTCATTTGGACAGAGAACCAGCAATGGCAGG